AGAGTCTCAAGCTGTTGCCCTGGGTAGAGTGCTGTGACATCAAAGCTCACAGCAAACTCAAACTCTTGGGCTTAAGCAATTCTCTTGCCTCACCCTCCCAAGTAGCTGGGACTATAGGTGCCCGCCACAATGCTTGGATATTTTTTGGTTATAGTTATCATTGTTTGGCAGGTCCGGGCTGGATTAGATAGAACCTGCTACCTCCTGTATATGTGGCTGGTGCCCAGCCACTGGGCTATAGGTACCGAGCCTTTTTTCTTTTTCTTTTTAAGAAATGAGGTCTTTGTTCTGGCTCAGGCTGGTCTTGAACCTGTGAGCTCAGGCAATCCATCTGCCTTGGCCTCTGAGAGTGCGAGGATTACAGGTGTGAGCCACTGGGCTGGGCCCTATTAATAGTGATTATGGGCAGGGCATGGTGGCTCATGTCTGTAATTCTAGCACTCTGGGAGGCCAAAGTGGGTGGATTGCCTGAGCTCACAGGTTCGAGACCAGCCTGCGCAAGAGCAAGATCCCCATCTCTAAAAAAAGAAAAAAATAGCCAGGCATTCGTGGGTGCCTATATTCTCAATTACTACTTGGGTAAGTGAGGCAAGAGAATCGCTTGAGCCCAGGAGTTTGGAAGTTGCTGTGAGCTATGACGCTATGGCACTCTACCGAGGATAACAAACTGAGACTCTGACTCAAAAAAAAAACCAAACAACCGCTGATCATGTAAATGCCATGGGTATTGGAAATGAAAACTTGAAATATTTATGCCCTAACTTAGTGTTATGAGATTTAACCTTTTCTATAATTTAATTTTACCATATGCCAGCAGTAAGCGTGGTTTACTTTTCTGAGAACATCAACAATAAGAGTGCATTAATTTGTCGGGTGTACATTTGTGTGTGTGTGTGTGTATGTGTATGTGTATATATGAATATATATATAATAGCCATTTCTCTTCTCCAGTTTCTCTTTCTCTTCTCCAATATGTCTTTCTCCTTCATCCCCAGAATGGCTGAATGGGTAAAACAACAAGCAGAGCGAGAGGCTGAAAAGGAGCAAAGACGGCTGGAGCGACTGCAGCGGAAGCTTACAGAACCTAAGCACTGCTTCACTAGCCCCGACTACCAGCAGCAGTGCCATGAAATGGCTGAGCGTTTGGAGGACTCTGTCCTCAAAGGTGAGAATGAAGATTCCTTAGTGTGGGCAGCAGGCACCCCTAACGCCAACTGTTCTAGACTGCTCCACACAAAGAGCAGTTCTAGAGCTTTTGGAAGGTTAGAGAAGTCCAAGAATCTAATTTAGGGGTGTCCAACTTGTTTTCCTGCACACAGTGGAAGAAGAGTTGTCTTGGGCCACAAATAAAAAACACAAAACAGACTTGGCGCCCATAGCACAGTGGTTACGGCACCAGCCAGATACGCCGAGGCTGGCAGGTTCAAACCTGGCCCAGGCCAGCTAAATAACAATGGCAACTTCAACAAAAAATAGCTGGGTGTTGTGGCAGGCACCTGTAGTCCCAGCTACTTGGGAGTCTGGGGCAAAAGAATTGCTTATGCCCAAGAGTTGGAGGTTGCTGTGATGCAATGGCACTCTACTGAGGGCAACATAGTGAGACTCTGTCTCAAAAATAAATAAATAAAAACGCAAAACACAGCTGGGCATGCTGGCTTACACCTGTAATCCTAGCACTCTGGGAGGCCAAGGTGGGTGAATTGCATGAGCTCTCGAGTTCAAGACCAGCCTGAGCAAGAGCAAGACCCCATCTCTTAAAAAAAAAAAAATAGTTGGGGCAGCGCCTATGGCTCAAAGGAGTAGGGTGCCAACCCCATATGCTGGAGGTGGTGAGTTCAAACCCAGCCCCGGCCAAAAACTGCAAAAAAAACAAAACAAAAAAATAGCTGGGCATTGTGGCAGGCACCTGTAGTCCCAGCTATTTGGAAGGCAGAGGCGAGAGAATCACTTAAGCCCAGGAGTTGGAGGTTGCTGTGAGCTGTAATGCCATGGCACTCTACCCAGGGTGACAGCTTGAGGCTCTGTCTCTAAAAAAAAAAAG